TTTCCTTCCATCCATCCACCTATAAATTTTATTAAATTTATATACCACTTTTTATTACATTTTAGGGAGCTCCTAAAAATGTATTTCTATGCCTAATAACTATTTTGTAAAGACTGCAGCTGGTGCTAGTTTTTGTCGCAGATAAAGTTTTTATATTGCTGTGCTTTACTGTTAAATGTATATTGACTTTAAGTGTCACCTTGCTTGATTTTTAAACTTGCTTGATTTTATTTTGTAGACCAGTATATATAATCTACTACATGACCTGGATTGGAAAACAATTAAAAGGTCCACGATAAAGTTATTCATTCTAAAGTTGTTCAGTGTTATGCTTGGGTTATTCACAAGCTAAGAATGAATTCTTAACATGGCTTGTGAAGAACTTGAGCATGGCACTGATTGAAAAGATATTACATAATTACTACGTCAATAATGCTCCCCCAAATACTCCTAGAGCATGGGAAAAAGTTTAGCTTTCAAAAATCTTGACACCAGGAAAATTATTTTGATATATAAAATATTTCAAAGGCATATTAGAAATATATGCTTTTTTGTGCAGAATGTGAATATAACTAAGTTTCCTATACCAATCTTTTCTACCTTTTCAAGTCCTTATTTGTTTTGAGCAGTAAGCTGTTCCATGATATACTGTATTTGGACTTGGTTTTCTTTGGAACAGTTTAAATACAACACTCAGCCAGATTCTACTACTTTAAATAAAATCTCTATAAAGTGGCAATTTCCCAAGTGGCTGCTAACTTTGTCCTAGTTAGTAGCTTTATATATATGTCAGCCTCTTAATTCAGAGCTTTTAAATAAGAGGTCCATAGATTTCTGTAGAGTTGACAACTTGGATAGGAAAAGAATTTTTTTTTTTTTTACTAAAGTTTAACGGAATTTAGGCTTTAATTCAATAATGAATATATGCAACAAAACTACTGTTTCTAGATTCCAAAAATAATAATTAACTTCAATATCTAGCTAAAATAATTTGCATTAATTTTTAATATTTTGAAATCTATTTGGGTGCAGTTCTTCAGAACAATTATATTTTTTATGTATTTATTACTTTTTTTCCTTAAGGAATCAGTTTTCACCAGATTCTTAAAGTGTCTTTGGCTCAGAAAGATTTAGAATTCTCTCTCTAAATTATGCTGCTTTTTCAGTAAATATTTACTTTTATATTATAATTTTATTATATCATCAGATTAATTTTATAATCTGAAACTTAAAACTGTTAATTATATCTCTGTCTTTCTGATTTAGGGTCTGAAGTGGAACAGGCCACAATTCTGGGAATATATTAAAAAGATGGCAACTCAAGGTATGGATTAGTATAATCCATATGGAAATTAAATAAATTGTGATCACTTGGGTATAATCACCAATTTTGAGTTCTTAATAGTAAGAAATTGAATTTATATATGAAATTACATACAAAATTCTGCTACTTTTAGCTTACCTTAATTTGACGTTTAATGATGAACAGAACAAATATCAAATACTTTGTAGAGATGATCAGTGACTTAACCTTAAGTGGAATTTTAAAGTAACTCATTTACAAACTTTGTTAATGAAATGTAGGTATGCACATTTAATGAGAAAAAGTTGTTTTGGATATGAAACATATCACAGTGTTCCGCACATTATGCCACATTATTTCAAATCAGCCTTGCTTCAGTAGCACTGAAATCTAGAACCTTCGTTCTTCAGATAAAATGAAATCTGTATAGGGCAAAGCACAGTGCACAGCACACTGTATCCCATTAGTCCATCTACCCCATTCTCCAGCATGCCTTTGGGATAATCCACACATATTGATTGAATGTGCCTTTCTGCCCAGAGATTGAGTCATCAATCTTTGCCATGACTCTTGTAGGGGCAGGAAGCACCCTAGCCCCAGTCAGGACTCGGCCCTATACAGACGTGGCAAAGGTTGGCTCCAATAATTTCAGCAGAAAGCAGCAGTTTAAAGTGGATTTTCCCAAAGGTTTGCAAAAAGCCCCTAAAGCAGTGGTTCCCAAAGTGGATGGTACTGCCCCTAGGGAGGGCGGTGGGATGACTTAGGTGGCACTAAGAGGCAAGGGCGGTGGCAAAGGAGTGCTGGAGGTGGGCCCCTCGCAGAGCGCAATTCAGCTTCCCCCACACACGTCACTTGCCTGGTTTGCTGGCAAGCCAGAGTTGACCTGTTGCCACTTGGGTCCTTCCAGGATTCTCCGCAGCTGTTGGGCCTTGCCAGCTAGGGGCAGGGGTGGTGGTGGAGGCGACCAGGGAACATAATGCTATGCCTCTCACATCACCCCTTGCCTGCCGCTCCTTCCCTCTGTTGCCCACCAGTCTGCGTGCTTTGGCTGAATGTGGGCTGCCACTGTGAGAACGATGCGAGTCAAACCTCGCGAGAGCGGATCTTCCACCCCTGGAGCTTGCATAGCGGCAACCTGCACTCTGCTAAAATGCTCAGAGGGGCAGCTGGCAGAGGGGGAGATACAGGCGGCGTAAGCCTCATGCTTCCTGGTTGCCTCCCACACTCCCCCTCAGCAGCCATGACCCATGAGCCCCAGTAGCGGACGAGATGCGGGCTGGTGAGAAGCCGAATAGCGATGGGTCTGCCCTGACTGGCTCACCTTTCTATCTGCCACCAGCTGTGGGAGGAAGGTAAGTTTGTCGGCAGTTGGGAAAGGGAAAAGTAAGCCAGTCAGGGTGGGCTGGTTCACCATTCTTGCAGCTCACTTCTGCAGCTCCTGCAGTGGGCGATGCTGCAGCCTTGTTTGAAGTTCCCAGCCCTTTCCCCAAAAGAGGGAGGGGTGGAAGTCCCACCCGTGGCTCCTTTGTTGGACCCAAAGCCTTGGGCAACTCTGGGAGACTAGTCACGAGTGACGCTGCTGGGTGACTGCCTTGTTGGAAGAGAGAGAGAGAGAGAGAGTGTATGTGTTTCGGATGGGTCTCCTAGTTTAAGAGGAGGGAGCGAAGGATGAAGGGAAGGGATAAAGAAAAAGAGGAAGAGACGAGAAAGAAAAAGGAAAGAAGAGAGGAAGAAAAGGGGAAGGAAGGAAGGGACAGAAAGAAAAAGGGAGGAAGGAGAAAGCGAATGAGATATCTAGTCCAACCACCTGCTCCAGCAGGGTTAGAAGAGTGTGTGTATGTGTGTGTGTGCGCATTGCTGTGCATGGCTGTCAAAACTCCAAAAACAGGTCAAGTAGCTCTGGGAAGGTCAGTCATAAATTAGAACACTTGCTAAGCAACCGGCCATTAAGCGAGGACCACTTGTATTTGGTTTGTAGCGCCAAGGGGGCAGTGGACTGAAAAAGTTTGGGAACCATTGCCCTAAAGCATCCAAAACATAATAAACGGGCAGCAATTGGAAATCCTGCCTGCTCTGTTTTTTTGTAGCCCCCTGAATTACCAATTAAAGGCCTAACAGCCCAGGCAGTCAAGGGGCAGTCAACTCCCCCAACCCCGAGGGGGGCACTGAAGCCACGATCACCCCCAACATGTTTCAATCCCAGGCATAACTAGGTAGCTCTGGAGCAGCTGCTTTCGCTTTTGCGATTTCCAGCTGATTTTTGGGTCTGGCAGTTGGCCATTTTGGCCACTTGGCAAGTTGTGCAGGAGACTGGTAGGGACGCCACTGTCACAGCCCAGGGAAGGCTTCCAGGCCTTGAATTGCCTTTGGAGCAGCAGGAGTGGAGGATTCTTCCAACAATTGGGGCAAAAGCAGCATGGCTGACCAAGGCAGCATGGAGTCCACAAGTCCTAAAAGATCCAAGCAGGGTCCCAGGAAGACCAGATCTGCAAGCAAAGAGGCTGCTAACAAGATCAAAGCAAAGGTGCTTTATTCCAGAAAGCCCACAAGAGCAGAAGAAAGGAAGCAAAGACCATTGGAAAAGCAGTTCTCCAGAGCTCAGAAGCAAGCTGACCAGGAGAGGTATCCCCCCCTCCCCCACAGCCAAGGCCTGTTAGTCCTTTCCCTCAGCAGCCATTAGCACAGGGCTTGCCTGCAGTTTCTGGGGCTTGGTCACCAGAGGGATATAGGGTGCAGGAATTTATCCCTCCTTCTGAGGAAATCCAAACTCAGAGATTTCCTTTTGATTGCATGCTTTCTCATCCTGCAGATTTGCAGACCAGAGACAGGAGGATCAGAGGCCACCTTTACTCCAACTGTAGTGGGAATGCACTCAGCAGAAAGAGTGGCTCCAGAATTATCAGAAGATCTTAAGGCTCTTATTGCTCAGGCTCACCCTTTCTCATGGGGTAGCCTCCTCTGAGGGGGAGGAGCCATCCTTCCCCCAGATCTGATTCTCAGCCATCGCAATCATTGCAATATCAGGCCTCCATGGGTTCCTCCAGGCACCAGAGAGAGGCCTCTCCATGAGAAGCAGGGCATCTGGGATGGAGGAGGAGGTTCTATCACCTGATCCACCCCCCTTCACAGGTTTGTTTAGCCCGGGGCTGTTTAAATCCCTCCTCCACAAGGCTAGGACCACTGCCCAAATTGATCTTCCTCCCACTATACCAGCTGCTTTAGCAGAAACTCAGGGGCCCAACAGCAGGGTTTTTTTCTGAACCTACAGTTCTCCAACGGGAGATTCCTTGTCCCAAGTTATTTTTGGACATAGTTCAGAGGCAATGGGCACAGCCAGGATCCTTCCCCATTCCGAGGAGTAATATTTTTTTCCCCGATATGGCTCCTCTTGGAGTCACTTTAACTTCCCCTTTGGGTTGAACCTTTGGCATCTTTGGTCTCCCTCTGCAATATCAGGTGACATAACAAGAGGATAAAAAGGTGGAACAAAATTTCTGCAAGATACACCAGGCCAACGCCTGGGTGATTAAAGCACCTGCGACCACCTTCACTAGGACGTCCTCTGGCTCTGCCCATTACAGGCTAGGATTTCCCCTGAGGAAATCAGAATGCATCAGGACGTCAACAAATTAGTGGTGGCCACCAAATCTGCAGCTGACTCCTCCCTGCATGCTGCCTGATTCTCCAGGGCCCTCATCTTCTGCTGTGGCTACAACAGTGGCAAGCAAATACTAGAACCAAATGGAAGGTGGCCTCTGCTCCTTATATGGGTTCTTCCCTATTTGGAGAGGCCTTAAATCCCTTTGTAGTCAAGAATAAGGACAAGAGAAAGGTGTTTTCGCTTACCAGGAGGGCTTCTCCTTTACACCCATAGACAGCCATTTCGTTCCTAAGACTCAGGCCAGGAATTTCCTCAATTCCAAAGGTCTTACCAGCCCAGATCTGGTAGACCCACAGATAGATCGGGATTTAGAGACAGAAACAAACAACAGTTTCAATCTAAACGGCCCTTTCATGGCATGGGAGATCGTCTCTACCATCGATCCAAATAACTCCTGGACCCTTCCTCCCATTGGCGGCCAACTGGCCCTATTTGCAGAGCTATGGGAGACCATCACTTCCGATTCCTGAGTCCTGAAAACAGTGCAATTCAGTTTCACCCTGGATTTTCTGTCCACTCCTCCGAGGACCTTCACCCATTGCCCAACCTCCAAGAACCACGTAAGGAAAAAGCTCATAGACACAGCGATCCATTATTTGCTGGACATTGAGGCCATCGAGCCAGTACTGGAGGACCAGAGGGGACACAGGTTTTATTCCATTCTATTTGTAGTACCCAAGTGCTCGGAGAGTGATCCTTGATCTCAAAAAGCTCAATGCTTCTTTAGAATATAAGAGATTCAAAATGCAGTCTCTGCAGTCAATCTTGAAAGGCATCTGGGGTGATCTGCTAACATCCATCGATCTGACAGGTTTACCTCTGCATTCCCATCTATGCCTCCTATTGGAGGTTTCTCAGGTTCTATTACGCGGGGGGGGCATTATTAATACAAGGCCCTCACATTCAGACTGTCATCAGCCCCCAGGACCTTCACAAAAGTGCTGGCAGCACTGGCTGCGCACCTCAGAACAATCCCAGTGCAAGTGCTGTGCTATCTGGATGGCATCCTTATCCAGTCCAGTTCCAGCCAAATAGCCAAGTCAGACCTGACTTACATAATCCATGTCCTATAGGACCACAGTTTTTCAATCAATTTCCAAAAAAGCCAGTTAACACTTTACACCCGCCTCCATCTGGGTGCAGTGATAGATACAAATCTATGCAAGATATATTTGTCCCAGGAATGTCAGGACAGCATCAGGTCCTTGATCACCCAGGACACAGCTGAGTGAACGGCTCCACAGGCGGTGCTTTCCCAGCTTCTGGGAAAATTGATCTTGCATATAGCCATAGTTCCATGGGCCTGATTGCACGCCAGATCTCTCCAATGTTCCTTCTACCGTTTCAGAGAGTAGGCACCAGCACCTCCAATGTCAGGGTCCAACCCTGGTCAGATGTCCTCAGTTCCCACAGGTGGTGGGTATCCCCAGCGATCACCAAGGGGTCCCTATTCAAAGAACCCAGTTCGATGTGAGTCTGTTGGGATGGAGGGCTCATCTACAGTCCCAGTTTGTGCAGGGTCAATGGTCCACAGCGGACCTTCAACACAACATGAACTGGTTAGAACTGAGAGCCATTCCCCTTGATCTCAAACACTTCCAAAGCACAGTCAATGGCCAACGTGGCGGCCAAAGCACACGTCAATTGCCAGGGAGTGACCCACTCCAAATCCCTCATGTCCAAAACATAGCAACTGGGAATTTGGGCGGAGGCTCACCTATTGTCACTCAAGACAGAGCACATATCAGGGATAGTGAATGGCCCAGTCGGATTATCTAAGCAGGACCAGGGTGGACAACTCCCAAGTGGTGTCTCCATCCAGACCTGTTCCTTGTGCTATGCACAGGATTAATTTTCCCAGAAGCTGGGAAAGCACTGCCTAGGGAACATATCTAGAGATTTGGGAGACCAGTCCTCAATCTCGTTGCCACTCCAATGAACACCCAACTTCCTTGATTCTACTCCAGATTCCCATCGCTGGGTGCAGAAGGGGTAAACGCCCTTCTCAACTGCTGGTCCAAGGATCTCCTTTACGCCTTTCCTCCTCTACCCTTCATGCCAGGAGTGATAAGGAAAGTGCTTCTAGAACAGGCAGAAATTATCCTCATCACTCCCCACTGGCCCAGATGGTTGTGGTATGCGGATCTAGTGAGTCTGTCAGTGTTCCGCCTTTGGAGGATCCCTCAAGACAGGATATCTCCTGAGTATCCTGAGGAGATATAACTTTTCAAGAAAGGTCATCAAAACAGTACAAGCCTCCAGAAGGCCTTCCATGAATAGAATATACAACGCTATCTGAAAAGCGTTCCATCAATGGTGTACCAAGAAGGGCACGGACCCAACTGTGGCCTCCGTGCCACAGATCCTGGAATTTGTACAAACAGAACTCAGCAAAGGGCTCTCCCCAGTACGCTACTCAGGCACGTAGTAGCCCAACCACTGTGTTGCACTACAGGAAGAGGAATTCCTTAGCTCATCATCTGGTCGTCTGCTCCTTCCTCAGAGGAGCTGTCAATCTTAGACCGCCAACAGTCCACAGATACCCTTCTTGGAACCTGTTAAAAGCCCTCACTCAGGAACCGTTTGAATCTCTTCAATCGGTAAGCCTACACTTTCCAACACTCAAAAATTGTCATCTTAGTGGCCATTACATCGGCCAGGCGCATATCAGAATTGGCAGCTCTTTCCACCAGGGAAGACCTCTGCACTTTCCACGAGAACAGGGTTGTCCTGTGCCTCGACCCTTCCTTCATCCCAAAGGTAAACTGTCCACAGGGCTCATGAAGTCGTTCTTCCCGACTTTTGCCCTACCCCTTCACATGACAGAGAGCACAGATGGCACAAATTGGATGTTCTGAAGGCTCTTCACAGGTACATCAAACATACATCAACATTTTGTAAAACTGAAGACCTGTTCATCTCATTTCAGCCATCTTCAATGGGAACTAAAGTCTCTTCAACTATAGGCTGCTGGATCAGGGCTTGTATAGCCAAGGCCTACAAGATCCAGGCCCTTCCAACACCCAAACGGGTAACAGCTTACTCGATCAGAAGTGCAGCTACCATAGCTGCCTGGACAACGCAAGCCTCACTTGAGGACATATACAGGGCGGCTACATGGTCCTCCCCATCTCCATTCGTAAAGCACTACAGACTGGACACATACGCCTCAGGAGAGGCAACCTTCAGCAGAAGAGTGCTACAGTGAGTGCATACAGACAGGAGTACACAGGACCAGATTCCTTCCTGCCCACGGGGACTGCCAGCTTTACTGTGTCCCATGTGTGTGTGGATTATCCCAAAGGCATGCTGGAGAATAGGTGTTGGCTTACCTGAACGCAATTTCTCAGCATGCCTGGGGATAATCCTCTCACACCCTGGCAACTGTCTGGTCCAGTGTCCAGGTGGGAGGCAAAGCCAACATCACAGGAAGATCAAGTGGCTGTGCCTTCATCGTGACTGGGGCTAGGAGGCTTTCTGTCCCAACAGGAAGAGGCATGGTAAAGATTGATGACTCTGGGCAGAAAGGAAGATTCAACCCAATGTGTGGATTATCCCAAGGCGTGCTGAGAAACTGTTCAGGTAAGCCAGTGCCTACTTTCTCACTGACTTTTTTTTCTTGGCCATCACCATAAATATCTCAATGCAATGTATCTGTTATACCCCAAAAGGAAGTCACATATTCTCCAGTGTGCCGATTGGAGAATCCAAGTATGGGTTTGACACATACTTTCTGCTCAGAGACTGAGTCCTCATGTTTTTGTCACGCTTCTCTGTCATCTGAGTCCCCAGTTTCAACTCAGTCTTGGCCCAAGAGAGACATTGCAAGATTGGGTCAAGCTCTGAGGAGAAATCTTGGATTCTGTAATCAACAGGCTTGATCATTGCAAGACAGCAATCAAAGTGGTGGTCAGCCACTGCGCTGTTTGGCTTCCGGCTTTGCTGCAATTTTCACTGGTTGGCTTTCCCTAGCTCTTCGGCAACCATCACAACTGGGAAAGTAGTTAAGGCAACTTTGGCTGACTCACCTGGGTAACTCCGGAGATGCCGTCTGTACTTGTGAGCATCTTCTAGATGCATGGGAGCGTGCTTGCTCACCCAGTCTCGTCTGGCGTGGCCATTGCCCCAATTAATTTCCAACAGGAAAAAAAGCATGTTCTTTACAGCCACTCATGTGTGCACTGGCTCACCCAGTCCTTCTGGAACAGCTGCCACCACTTCAAACCCCCACTTGATCCATGGCCTTGCGTAACAGATTGGAGCCATTGCCAGGATAATTTCCAGGCAGGCTCATACTGAGGTTCAGCTTAAACTTTTGCAGCAGTTACCCTTGCACAGCGAGCTGCCTGTCATGGGCCAGAGCTGTCATGGCGGATTGCACAGTGACAGCAGACTGTGTGGAACAGCCACATTCCCCTATGCCACTCAAAGCCCCAGAATAAAGCTCCAAGAAGGTTAAATTGGCTAATAAGGGAGCAGCCGATAAAATAAGGGCAAAAGCTCTCTATCCGAAGAAGGCTTCTAAAGCTGAAGAGAAGGATGCCAGAAGGTGCCAAAAGGCGCTGGAGAAACAAATCTCCAGAGCTGACAAACAAGCAAAGCGGGGCAGGCTTTCAAATTCGCCTCAGACAGGTCCTGTCATTTCTTGCCCTATGCAGCAGCAGCCATTGCTTCTTTCAAGCGCTGTAGTTCCAATGGCATGGTCACCAGAGGGCGATAGAGAGCAGTTTCTTCAATTGCCTATTGCAACGGGAGACAAGAAGGAAAAAATTTTCCCTTCTGCCTAGCAACAATCTAAAGGCAAATTTCAGGCCCTAGAGGCCACATTCACTCCCACTGCAGGGGGGCTCCGCCCAGGGGAAAGACAGGAATCTGAGTTATCTGAGGAAATTAAATTACTCATTTCAGAAGCAATATCACATGGTATTGCTACAGGATTGAAAAAAAAAGCCAATCAGCTTCATTAGCATCCGAACTATCCTGCCATTTTAACCACAAATGTCATCTCCCAACAGAGGCCCTTAGGTTCCAGGGATCTTCATCTCCAGGCCATTCCCTGAGAGGTACAGCTTCAGCTTTGGAGGATGAAGATCAGAGGGATCAAGCCCTATTGGAAGATGAAGTCCTCATTCCAGATCCTCCGCCCTTTACTGGCCTTTTTCTGTTCAGCTCTTTTCAAGTTCCTGCTGCACAAGGCCCAGCTAGGAGTTGAGCCTCGTGCCTCTGAGGAACCCTCGTGTTCCCAAGGCCCAAATAACCTCGTTTTCATTGAACCTATCATAACACAAGAGGACATCACTTGTCCTAAACTATTTCTGAATGTAGTTCAGAGACAATGGGCTACCTAGGGTCATTTTCCACTCCTGGTGGAAATGACAAAAGTTTCTTCAATATGGTCCCCATCCTCACTGAGGGACTTCAACTGCCTACAGTGGATGAACCACTGGCAGCCTTGACCTTTCCCACCACTCTGTCTGGAGACATAACAGAGACCCTGAAGCAGAGGACAGGAAAGTGAAACTGAACTTCTGCAGGACCCATCAGGTCGCCACTTGGGTGGTCAAAGCAGCAACAGCCGCTTCCTTATTAGGACCTCCTTGGTCTGGCTTCACCAGCTGCAAGCGAGAGTGGCACCTGAGGAAATTCAACTTCACCAAGATATCAACAAGATGGTGGCAGCAGCTGATTTTTTGGTTGATGCTTCCTTGCATGCTGCTCATTTTTCTCCAGGACCCTCACTTCCACAAAAATGTCCCGCCACTTGCTATGGCTTTGCCAATGGCAGATGGACACAAGGACTAAGTGGAGGCTAGCCTCTGCTCCCTATAGGACTACACTATTTGGGGAGGCCCTAGACCCCTTATTGAAAACAAGGACAAACAAGGTCTTGACCTCTATACCCAGGTGTGCAGATCGTCGCCCCTTGCCATATGTTCGTAGGCAGTCCTTTCGGCCAAGAGACGCCAGCTTTGACCACGCTCAATTTTAGCATCTCTACTTACAGAGACCTGATAACTAACCAGAGAGATTGGGGTTTAGGGAAACGTCCAAACAGCAATTCCAGGCCAAGTGGCCATTTTGTGGGTCAGGAGGTAGCCCCTTTCACTGCTCCAGATGACTGCCAGGCCAATCCCCCCATTGGGCATCTGGCCCTATTTGCAAACCAATGGGAGAAATCACGACAGATACTTGAGTCCTAAACATGAGGCAATTCATCCGTTGCCCTGTCTCCAAAAACAATACAGGAGAGGCCTCATGGACACAGCAATCCAACATCTGTTGGATATTCACACCATCAGGTCGGTTCCAGAGGACCAATGGGAGCAAAGATTCTATTCCATTCTGTTCATAGTTCTGAAGTCCTTGCGGGGGATGGAGTCCTGGACTTCAAGAAATTAAACATCCACTTGACCTACAAACGATTCAAGATGCAGTCATTACAGTCCAGCTTGGAAGGCATCAGACAGGGCGACTTCCTGACGTCCAGAGGCCTGATGGAGACTTACCTCTATGTCCCTATCCTTCTATTCCATCAAAGTTATCTCAAATTTTGCTATGCAGGCAGCAGTTCCAGTACAGAGCCTTACCATTCGGCCTGTCCTTTTCATTAATTTCCATTCCTTAGGGGGTGCGCTGAAGAGCCACAGCCGCAAAATCCTGCACGCCAATGCTTGCCAGGTAACTGCTAGGGCTGTTTTCACTTTACTGCCCCACAGCTGATCATCGGGGCTAGGGGCCACCATTTTGGAAGTGACTGGCAAGTTGTGCTGGCTATCCCAGGAGACTGGTCTTGCCACCACTGCCACAACCCAGGGGAGAAGACCTGGGACAAGGACTGCTCCTAATTGGAGGATTAAGGAGGATTGAGTCATTAGCCTCTCTTCCCAGTGCAGTCTCAGGGCTCAAGCTACACGATGGATGATCGCTCAGTAGATAGCGTGGAGCCCAAGCATGCTAAGAAATTCTCCAAGAAGGCTAGATCTGCAAGCAAAAATGCAGCAGACAAAATTAGGGCAAAACCCATCTACTCCAGAAAACCTACCAGGGCAGAAGAAAGGGATTCAAGCCCTTGAAAAGCAGTTTTCCAGAGCTGAAAAGCAAGCTGTGCAGGAGAGGTATTTCCCCTCCCCGCCAGCCAGAGGCTTGCGTTTTCCGCCCTCAGCCATTGCTGCAAGCCCTGCCTGCAGTACAATGAGCTTTGTCACCAGAGGGGGATAGTGAGCAGGTTTATCCACCCTCAGCAGGGGAAATTCAAACTGACTCTTTTCCCTTCCCATGTTTGGCCCCTGATTCTTCAGAATCACAGATAAGGGAGAGAAATAGAGCTCCAGAGGCCACCTTTACTGCAGTGGGATTTCTCCCAATTGACCCAATCGGACCTGGTTTATCTGAGGAGATTAAGGCCCTTAGAGCCCAGGCCATTTCCCATGGGGTGGCCTCTACCCTACAGGAGAGGAGCCATCCCCCCTCCTTGGGATCTGAGCATCCATTACAGACCGTGCAATACCAGGTCCCTGTGGAGGCTCTTGGACACCAAAGGGAAGAGTCTCCTGTCCGCTCTGTTAGAAGCAGGACATCTGTGTTAGAGGAAGAAGAGCAAAGAGAACAGGGGTTCTCAGAAGATGAAGACCTGGTCCCTGAGTTTCCCCCCATTTACTGGACTTTTTAGCCCAGCCCCCTTTAAATCCTTATTATGTAAGGCCAGACCCACTGCCCAGATAGGCACAGAACCTTCTCCAGCAGTGCCACCTGACAACTGGGGCTCCAACAGTAAAGTGTTCTCTGAGCCCATTTCTATGCAACAAGACATACCTTGCCTCAAGCTGTTCCTAGACATGGTTCAAAGACAATGGTTACAACCAGGCACCTTTCCCACCCTGGGAGGTAATGATAAGAAATTTTTAAACGTGGCTCCCTTTCTTGCAGAGGCGCTTCAATTGCTCTCATTAGATGAGCGATTGGCCTTCTTGATCTCTCTTGCCGCTTTGTCTGGAGACATAGAGGATGGAAGGTAGAAGTAAACTTCTGCAGGGCGCATCAGGCCAGTGCACGGACTGTTAAAGCAGCAGTGGCCACTTCTTTCTTTGCCTAGAATGTGTTTTCTTTAGCTTCAACAATTACAGGCCAGAGTTCCCTCAGAGGAAATTTGGATGCATCAGGACATTAATAAAGTGGTAGCAGCCACCAAATTCGAAGCGGATTCTTCCTTGCATACAGCCCGTTTTTCTTCCAGGGCACTGGCCTACAACCTCTCACTGTCTGCTATGATTCAGGCAGTGGCAGGTGGATGCCAGAACAAAATGGAGACTTGCCTCTGCTCCATATTCAGGTACTTCTCTTTTCGGAGATGCCTTAAATCCATTCCTGGTAGAAATAAGGAAAAGTGCAATGTCTTTTAAACCTTCACCAGGAGAGCAGATAGAAGGACTTCCCTCTTTTCTCGTAGGTATCTCTTTCATTCAACAGAGACAGCATAGGAATTTTCACAATTCCAGAGAACTTACCAGCCTAGATCCGATCGACCACCAAGACAGGTCAGAGTTTTGGGACATGACTAGGCAGCAGTCCCAATCTAAACGGCCCTTTCGTGGCACAGGAAGCCTCCCCTTTCGCTGCTCCAAATGACTGCCGGAACCTTCCCATCGGCAGTTGCCTGGCCCTATTTGCAGACTGATGGGAGAATATCACATCTGATTCATGGATCCTGAGAACCGTGCGATTCGGCCTGTCTCTGAACTTTCCATACCTCTGAGGACATTCACCCATTGTCCCACCTCCAAGAATCTCTTTCGAAGAGGACTTATGAACAAGGCAGTCCAGCACTTCCTTGACATTCAGGCCATCAAGCCTCTGTTGGAGGAGCAGAGGGGGCACAGCTTCTATTCCATTCTCTTCGTAGTTCTGAAGGCCTTGGGGTGGTGGTGGAGGGAAATTTTGGACCTCAAGAATTTAAACGCATATCTAGAGTACAAGAGATTCAAGATGCAATCACTGCAATCAATTTTGAGGGCATAGGGGAGGCGACCTCCTGATATCCATAGATCTGACGGAGGCCCACCTCCATCTTTCCCTCCCATCAGAGGTTTCTCAGGTTCTATTATGCAGGGAACCACTATCAGTACCGGGCCTTATCATTGGCCCCCAGAATCTTCACAAAGGTTTTGGCAGCACTGTCCGCGCACTTCAGAACAATCCCAGAGCAGGTCAGTTGCTACCTGGACAATATCTTCATCCAGTCCAGTTCCAGCCAACAGGCACAGGCCAATTTGGGGACCACAATCTGTGTTCTTCAGGAACATGGGTTCTCATCGACTTTCAAAAAAGGCAGTTACTACCATCCACCTGCCTGTTACACTTGGGTGTGGTAATAGATACCAGCCTATGCCGAGTTTACTTGTCCCAGGAGTGCCAGGACAGCATCAAGTCCTTCAGCCAGACCAGAGCAGAAGAGTGGTTCCTTGGTGGTATTCTCCCAACTCCTGGGAAAAATGATATTGTACATAGTCATAGTTTCTTCAACGCGTTTACATGCCAGCACCCTCCAATGGTTTCTCTTATCATTCCAAAGGGCAGGGACCAGCACATCCAATGTCAAGTTTGGGTTCCCCTAGATACCTTCAGTTTCCTCAGATGGTGATATCCAAAGGAGCCCTATTCAGGGAGCCTATTCGCATCACAGTAACCTCAGGTGCCAGTCTATTCGGATGGGGAGACCATCTACAGGCACAAATAGCATAAGGGCAATGGTCCCCCCAGGACCTGAAACACAATATCAATTGGTTGGAACTCTGAGCTATCCACCTAGCTCTAAAGCAATTCCAGAGCTCGGTCTCTGGCCAACATGTCTTAATGCTGATGGACAATGTGGCAGCCAAAGTGCATGTCAACAGGCAAGGAGGGACTCACTCCAGGTCCCTCATGATCGAAGCAGAACAACTGGGAATCTGGGCAGAAACTTACTGTTCATCAAAGCAGAGCATATATTGGGGGCAACGAACACACAGGCAGACTACCTGAGCAGGACCAAGGTGTACAACTCAGAGTGGTATCTCCATCCAGATTTTTTCAACGAAATGTCTTGAAAATTTGGACAGCCGATACTGGACCTGTTTGCCACTTCAGCAAACAACCAACTCCCCTAATTCTTCTCCAGATTCCCAACTCCAGAGGCAGAAAGGGTCAATGCCCTTTGCAGCCAATGGCCCAATGGCCTACTTTATGCCTTCCCTCCGCTTCCCCTTTTTGAGGTGATAAAGAAAGTACTGCTAGGACAGGTGGAGATTCTGCTTATTGCTCTCCATTGGCCATAACCCAGACAGTTATGGTACGCAGACCTGGTAAGCTTGTCAGTGTCCTGTCCTTGGATGATTCCGCAGGACAGGATCTCCCTCAGCCAGGGGGTCTTGGAACCCCCGGAACCACAGTGGCTCCAATTAACTGCCTGGCACTTGAGAAGAGTATCCTGAGGAAGGACAATTTTTCACAAAAAGTGATATGGATCATCCAAGCTTCCAGGAGACCTTCCACCAATAGAATATTGATGCTACCTGGAAAGCATTGTGCAGGTGGTGTGCCAGAAAAGAAACTGATCCTGTGACAGTCTCAATTCCGCAGATCTTAGACTTTTTGCATGATGTGCTCGACAAAGGCTTCTCATCCAGCACTCTATGCAGACAGGTGGCCACCTTGTCCATAGTGCTGATTAATGGACCAACTGATAGCCTACTGTCAGTTGGTATGCACCTGCATCAAGGGAACAAACCACTTACAATTCATAGCTACCCTACATGGGAGCTATATAAAGGCCTGCAAGCCCTCACTCTGGCATCATTTGAACCTCTGCAGTCTAATAGTCTGCACTACTTAACATTGAAAGTTGCTTTCTTAGTAGCCATCAGTTCGGCCAGGTGTATATCGGAACTAGCAGCTCTTTCGGTCAGAGAAGTCCTTTGCACCTTCCACTCAAACAGGCTTGTTCTACGTCTGGATCCCTCCTTCACCCCTAAAATTAACTCACGCTTCCACAGGGCTCAAGACATTATCCTATTGCATTTTGCCCTGCTCCATTTCATGACCTGAAGCACAGATGGCACACATTGGACCTAAGGATGGTACTCCGCAAGTATGTTAAGCAAACTTCATCTTATTGCAGATCTGAAGCCCTGTTTGTCTCATTTCAACTGTCTTCCATGGGTACCAAGGTCTCATCATTCACCACAGGCTGTTGGATAAGGGTGTGTGTACCCAAGACCCTATGAGACTCAGGGTCTTCCTGTACCCAGACAAGTAACCTCCCTTTCAACAAGAAGTGCAGCTACCACTGTAGCCTGGGCAACACAAGCCTCACTTGAGGATATCTGTAGGGTGACGACGTGGTCTTCCCCATCTCCTTTCCTAAGACACTACAAGCGACACATACGCTTTAGCAGAGGCAGCCTTCGGCAGAAGAGTGCTACAAGTACATACAGACGGGTTCACAGGACCAGACTTCTTCCTGCCCATAGGGACTGCCAGCTTTGGTATGTCCCATATGTGTGGATTCTCCCATAGGCATGCTGGAGAATAGGCGTTGGCTTACCTGAACGCGATTTCTCAGCATGTCTTGGGAGAATTCATTCCCACCCTGGCAGCTGTCTGGTCCAGTGTCCAGGTGGGAGGCAGAGCCAACGCCAATAAGATCATCAGGTGGCTGTGCCTTTGTCGTGACTGGGGACTTCCTGGCCCGACAGGAAGAGGCGTGGCAAAGATTAATGACTCAGTCTCTGGGCAGAAAGGTAGATTTAGCCCATATTTGTGGATTCTTCCAAGGTATGCTGAGAAATTGTGTTCAGAGAAGCCAACACCTAATTTCACTGTTAAAAGAGAATTTTAGAAGAGACTTTTTTGTTATCTTAAAAGAAAATTTATATCTAGCATGCAATTTGTATCTCTAAATTAAAATTGTAATAAACTTTTGCCAATTGTTTTCTGTTACTTTAGCAACTTGTTTTTAACCAATTTATTGCCAGCAGCTGATTTAATGGAGTTGGATATGGCAATGGAGCCAGACAGAAAAGCAGCTGTCAGTCATTGGCAGCAACAGTCATACCTAGATTCTGGTATCCACTCCGGTGCCACAACCACAGCTCCCTCTCTGAGTGGCAAGGGAAATCCTGAAGAGGAAGATGTTGATACCACCCAAGTTCTATATGAATGGGAACAGGGATTCTCTCAGTCTTTCACTCAGGATCAGGTAGCTGGTAAGTAGTATTCTGTGATCATATTAATCACTCAACCATATATAAGTAGATTAAAACGAGCTTACACTTGTTCCAGATATCGATGGACAATATGCTATGACCCGAGCACAGAGAGTGCGTGCTGCCATGTTTCCAGAAACATTGGATGAAGGCATGCAAATTCCATCAACGCAGTTTGATGCTGCACATCCAACAAATGTACAACGACTTGCTGAACCTTCCCAGATGTTAAAACATGCTGTGGTGAATTTGATAAACTACCAAGATGATGCAGAGCTAGCAACTCGTGCCATCCCAGAATTGACCAAATTATTAAATGATGAGGACCAGGTATGTGCACATTGATTCAGCTTGTATTTATTGTGATTGCTAAGAGGCATCGCTTAACAGACTTACTTTTGGATTTTGAAAACGTTAAATTTCAATGCATTTATTAGGTTGTGGTGAACAAAGCAGCAGTTATGGTCCATCAGTTGTCCAAAAAAGAAGCTTCTCGCCATGCTATCATGCGTTCTCCTCAAATGGTTTCTGCCATTGTGCGTACTATGCAGAATACAAATGATGTAGAAACAGCCCGTTGTACTGCAGGTACACTACATAACCTATCTCATCATCGTGAAGGGTTACTGGCAATCTTCAAATCTGGAGGTATTCCTGCTCTGGTTAAAATGCTCGGGTATGTGAATTAATTGATTTGATGTATCTATACACTATATAGATGGGTGGGATATTTCTTAATTTGACTTTCTTTTTATAGGTCTCCAGTAGATTCTGTGCTTTTCTATGCGATTACTACTCTGCACAATCTTCTGTTGCATCAAGAAGGTGCTAAAATGGCTGTCCGCCTAGCTGGAGGTTTACAAAAAATGGTTGCCTTGCTTAACAAGACAAATGTTAAGTTTCTGGCAATTACAACAGATTGTCTTCAGATTCTTGCATATGGTAATCAAGAAAGCAAGGTAATGCTTGAAATTATATTATGTAGTGAATTAGTAGTAAGTTGGGCAATTATGGGACACATAAAATTTTTTACTAACCTAATCCCATTCTTATGTTTAAGATTTGAACTTTGAGAATAGTTACATTTATGTTAGTAATAAAACACAAGTTACATATGCAGATGACCGCAAGTTCATGCATACATAGTACTATTAGATAGAATTAGGAAGAATTGTCGTTGGTATTGGGAGATTAGCCCAGTGGTTTTTAATATAAATACTTCTCCCTCCCTCCCTCTCTTTTTCTCCCTCTCTCTCTCTGTCTCAAACAAACACACACATGTACATCATCTGAGATTCCAGGAGAAAATAGTTTTCTTTTTCTACTCATGGGTGGGCTTCAAAAATATCAGCAACTGGTTCTCTGCCCAGTTGCTGGGTGGGCTTGGCCTAGTTGGCCTCCTCCACCACAGCGGGGGGGGGGGGTTGTTGCCCTCCCCAGGTTCTGGAGGCTTTCCTTGAGCCTCTAGAGAGTGAATACTGGCTCCAGAAGCCGTCTGGAGTCTGTTTCCGGCCTTCTGGAGCCTCTGGGAGGCCCATTTTTTGCCCTCTCCGAGCCTCCGTGCAGACCCTGCATTTACCTGACATCCAAATGGGCCGCGTGGGGACTCCTGGTGGGGGGGCATCCAGGGTTGGGATTTGCCAGTTCACCGAACTGGCCATAAAACTAGCTAAGGATTCGCCCCAACCAGGGTGCACTGGCAGCAGCCCACCCGTTTCTTCTTCAGTATGTACAGATATGCTGACAGCAGAACAGCATGAAGAAATTGCAAATCCATCTTTAAAAGGTTATCCTGATTAGCCTATATTGCTCTTTTATCAAATCCTTTCTTTTTTGGCAGTTAATTATTTTGGCAAGTGGTGGACCCCAGGCTCTAGTAAATATAATGAGGACTTACACCTATGAGAAATTATTGTGGACCACAAGTAGAGTCCTGAAAGTACTATCAGTCTGTTCTAGTAACAAACCTGCAATTGTGGAAGCTGGTAAGTGCTTCAGTTTTCATTAAATCAGGACTGTTTTTGGACTTGTTTTGGAGTCGCTCAAAAATTACTAATAGTTTCCTTTGCAGGGAATAGCTAATAAAATTACTGTTTTATACTATATACGGAATATTCTAAATTGGGTGGAATATCAGTAATGAGGCATTTTTAACAAAAATGTCAGCTAAGTAAACTAAAAACTTGATATAGCAGACATTTCTCAAAAAATTTCATTCTTGAAATATTAGTGGCTGTTAAAATGTATTTAGTACATTTTTGATGCTGTTATTGCAGTTTTTATTCTTAAGATTTTTAGTACAGTATTGTTTGGACTATAAGACGTACTCCCCCCCCCCCAAATGTAGCTAGAAATGTCTGTGCATCTTATAGAGTGAATACGGCCCTGTTTTTGCCTCCTGAACTCTCCTTGCATCCCGATTTTGCCCCCCCCCGCGCCCAGAAGCATCCTTGTAGGCCAAAATTTGAGCCAGATTTTGGCCTCCAGGGGCCTCTGCATGTCCCATTTGGCATTGGGGTGGCCAAAAACAGGCTTATTTTTGGCTTGCAGAGTGCCTCTGGATTCTGAGTAGGGCAAAAACAGGATGCGTGGAAGGTTTGGGAGGTCAAAAATGGGCCTGCTTTTGGCCTGAAGAGTGCTTCTGGGCGCCAGGGAGGGAAAAGGGATGCATGGAGGCAAAAAAATTTTTTTTCTTGTTTTCCTTCTCTAAACTTAGGTGTGTCTTATGGTCTGGTGTATCTTATAGTCTGAAAAATATGGTAATTTTGATATGTACAAATATTGGGGTTTTTGGATAGATTACGCCCATAATATATCACTTTATTTTGTAACTTCTTTTACCAGTTAATGGCTTAGTAGATTGTCAAACATCAGATGTGTTACAGTCAGAAGTATATGCCTTATGTCAGAGGTATCAAACTCCGTCGTCGTCGTGGCATCACATGATGCATTGGGACTTTTTTTCCCTTTGTTAAATGGTGTGGATGTGGCCAGCATGTGATGCATCTGGCCCATGGGTCGCGAGTTTGACAGCCCTGCTCTGCATAGTTCCTTGAACATTATATAGCGAGTATACTTCAGTTTCATCATGGTACATAAATACAGTAACTGTCCTTGCATTGAAGTAATCACATAAACAAAATTTCCTTCATAACAAGAGGTTGAAATATTGATAGAAAATATTAATTGATCGTTAGGTGGAATGCAAGCCTTGGGACTCCATCTTACAGATCCAAGCCAACGTCTTGTTCAAAATTGTCTCTGGACTCTTCGGAATCTCTCAGATGCTGCAACTAAACAGGTATGGGTTGGGAACTTCAAAAGATTATTAATATTGTATTATAAACTGATCTTGGTTTTGGAAAATTATTTTATTACATTTAGTTGGTATGATGCTATTTTGTGGCATTGCTCAAAACTGAAATTATGGTGTTTTTTAAAAAACAGTTTGAAATAACAGATAGGGAACAACTTAATGGTAAATTCAGACAGAATGCTAAATAAGATTTTCACCATAATCTTGGAAATCTTGTGTAATTTCCTGTTTTCATGTTGAATCAGATTAATTAATTAATTGGCAAATTACAATTTCATGGATATGATTGAAGACACAAATGTAAATGCTTAGTTATTCATAAGAAAAAGATATCTTTGGCTCAAGCCACTTGGTTGAAATACCATCAGAACTTCTCTCACATTGTACGATTGAAACTAGAGTATAAAGATGTTAAGTTATTAATATAAGGTTTTTATTTTTCTTAAGTGAAAAGCATAACTATCTGATTAATTTGAAATGTGTAAGACCAGGAGAAACAAATATATCAGTTTACAGCTCTATGATCAATTTATTATTTGGAATCTATATGCCCTTATAAAAGCAACTGCCATAATGGTATAAGCATTTCCATAGTGGTATATATAAATTTAAATGTAAATGAATTTAAAATATTCTTGAAATAAGAGGCTTCCCGTATGACTCATGTTGGAAATAAACATTTATCTATACATTCTAAGTATTCCTCAACAATTCCTTATATTTGTACTAGCTTCAAAGTACAATAAAGCCATTAAGTGTCTTTATTTAGAAAATGAGGACTTATACTTAAAAGAAATTACTGTTCCTTGAAGGACTGTTAAAGTGATACTGCTGATAAAACAAAAAAACTACCTTCTTGATAGAAGTCACAGGTGAGGGTATCTTTGCCAAAGTACCAATAATCTAGGGTGGGTCAAACAGATCTGGAGTGTGGTAGAGATTATATTTCAGGGTTTTTACAGGTAGTCCTTGCTTTGTGACCAGTTGCTTAACAAGTG